CTCCGAGAAGTTATGTCATGCAGCTGTTTGTGCCTCTGCCTTCGCCACTGGCAGGGAAGGGCGTCCCGAATTCCCTCACCAGCTTGAGCGGGAGGGTGCACGCAAAGTTGAGCAGCACCACAGGGTGGTTGAGGAGCAGGGGGAACGGGGGACAAGAAGGAGGGAACAAAACACGTCCTCCTCCTCTTCCGCCTCCTCTTCCTCCTCCTCCTCCTCCTCCTCCTCCTCCTCCTCCTCCTCCTCCTTGTAAGTCAGTGTCTCGCTGCGGCCTTCGTGCTTCGGTGCCGTCGGGAAGAAGGGGGAAGGGGCGCCGGCAGCCACATGTGAGCACCTTCGGGGGGCTACCGTGGCCGCTCCTCCTCCGCAAGCGCGCGACAAAGGAGGAAGCAGGAGGTCCGGCAAATCGAGGGCAACAGGAAGATGGCCGTCGCGGTCGAGAAGGCCGAGGACAGGGGCTGCTCGCCGTCGTCCTCTCGCGTGGCGGACGAGTCACGGGACAAGCCACGTTTGTCCGACCGACATCGGGGATGATCGTCCCAGAGGGGTGTTGGCAGTTCACATCCCCACGTGCCACCGTAGGGGGGAATGCATGGAGAGCGTTCTCCCAGGCGATAACGGGCGTCAGCCAGGGGGGGAGGGAGGGGAGGGTGGGGCGGGCGGTGATGTCACGTTTCGCGCTGGCGCCACCAGGGAATGACTAGGAATAACTGCAGCCAACTCGGAGGGGTCAGCACGCAGCGTGACCTTACTGGGGGGTGGGGGAGGGAGGGGCAGCCGAGGCCGGCAACGGCTGCCACGGAACATCAAAAAACGCTCTCGTGGACCCCCAACCGTCCAATCATCGCCGATGGGGGCCTGACATTTCCCCTCGCCCAGGAGACTGCGGATTCGCGATCGAGGGCCCATGGCCGATCTGTCGGCGATGCATCCTCGATGCCACCTCGGTGTTTTCCCCCTCTGGGCTGGTCCCCCGTATCGCTCCCTCCAGTATGACCGTGTCGCGGGCTTCACCTAGGGGAACAAACAGTGGCATAACATGGAAACGCTGAGGTCCGCGCGGATTTCCGGCATCGGCGTTGGGCAGCCCTCACTTGGCGCGCGAAGCGCGCCATGGGCGGTGGTGTCGGAGGCGCCGCCAGGGGGGCCCCAGTGCCGATCCGAGGAATCCGCGCGGACCTCAGAGTTGTTATGCCTATGTCATTGTTTCTGGGACAGGGCTGGACCTAAACGGTGTTTGGCTGGACTTCGGCTGCGTTTTGTTCTTCGTTTTGGGAGGGAGGTACAGGAAAACAGGTAGAGCAAAACGAAGCACATAACGAAAGCAATACGAACACACAACGTTCAGGTCCAGCCCTGCTCTGAGGTGTTTTGTCTTCAGCCTGGCGTCAGCAGCAGGAGGGGGAAGGATCGGCGAAGAGACGGAGTACAGCATGCATGCACGACAAGGCGAACAAGGCACACAAGGATCGACAAAGGACATGTAGACGAGATGCCTGATCGAGGCCCCGATGTTCCCTCACCCAGATCTCCCGCCCAAGCAGGTCGCGCCAACGCCTCTCATGAGGCACTCCACGACCTCCAGATCGCAATGCACGTCAGCATAGTCAGTGCGGGTTCGGGGGGTTGCGGTGATTGGGTAGACCACATTGAACCGAGTTCCTGACAGTCGATGCGTTCTTTGTGGGGCGGGTCGCATGGGGAAAACAAGAACCAATCCACTTTTCTAGAAAAATTGAAGGACAAGGAGCACGAGTAGAAGTGGAAGAGTTGGAATAGTGGAGAACTTCTGGGCCTGCCTTCGGGGGCTGATGGGACAGTCTGGGGCTGTCCTTGGGCACCTTGGGAGTTGGGGCCTCCACGCGTCCTCTTGGGAGCTTCTGGAGACTCCCTAGGCCGTGCGTGTGTGTCTTGGGATTTGTTCGGGGGCTCCTCGGCCCGTCTTGGCGCCTCATCCTTGGCATCGCTCGGACGTGTGCATTTTTTCTCGGCGAGGATCATCGAGGAGCATCCTTGATCATTTGGCGAAAATACCACGCACGAAACCGAAAAGAGCACAGGGAATGGACGTCCGAGCGATGGCGAGGGGCCGTCCGGTGGCCTCTCGGGGCACTCTCGGAATCGATAGACGCCGCTGCGGAGATAACTCTGGGATCGCAGGTGTGAAGCCTGTTCGGGGACCCTCGTGGGGCCGCCCAGACTCGCCCCTCGGGGGCGATGGCTGAGAGGAGGGCCCCACACCTGAGCAAGACCGGGAAGCAGCGAGCGGGAACGTTCTTCCTTGAAGATGGAGCGGTTTGCAGCGCCGAGCCGAGAGCGCGTCTCCGAGACGATAAACGAAGACGTGTCGAGCTGGAGCCCTGGTTTTGCTGGAGGAGTGGTCGGCGGCGAGCAAGAGTGCCGCCCTCAGTAACACGTGATCAAGCGGGCGTGCTTTTGATGCAGGGGGGACGGTTTGTAACGCCGATGCGAGAGCGCCTTTCCAGAGTGAAAAACAAAGAGGTATCGAGTGGGAGTGCTGGATAGTTGTACGGAGAGCAAGAGCGCCACCCTTCAGTAACATGTGAGGATGTATCGATCGGGAGCGTTGTTTTTGCAGGGGCGACGATTTGCAACGCCGAGGCGAGAGTGCCACCCCTGAGTGAAGAACAGCGAAGTACGAGTTTGAGCGCTGGGTTTGTTGTAGGGCCAGTTTTCAGCGGCGAGCAAGAGCGCCAGTCAACAAACTGTTAGGAAGTGTCGAGCTGGAGCGCCGTTCTTGTAGGGGGGCTGTTTGCGGCGCCGAGACGAGAGCATCCTTCCTGAGCTAAATCCGAGGAGGCATCCTTCAAGCGCTGTCGGGACGGTCGGTTCTCGGCGGCGAGCAAGAGCGCCGTTCCAGAGTGGAGAGCGAGAAGGTCTCGAGCGGGAGCGTTCTTGTTGTCGGGGGCCGGTTTGGGCGCAACCCCGAGATATTCGAGCGTGAGCCTCGCAACTAAAGGACATGCAGGCGGCGCCAAGGCGAGATCGCCAGGGCGCTCGTAGGAGGTCCAACAGTGATAGGTGCTAGCGATTCTAGACGTTGCGCGTATCCCCACCAGCCCATCCAGAAACGATGTCCAGGCGAGTTGAGGTGATCAGGGAAGTGCGCGAGCAAAGAGGGGGACGGCCGAACCGTGCAAAGGAGGGAGGAGGAGAAGGAGGAGGCTGGATGGATGGACGAGGGAGTGGGGAGAAGGAGGATGAATAGGAGGAGGAGGAGGAGGAGGAGGAGGAGGAGGAGGAGGAGGAGGAGGAATAGAGGGAGTAGGAGGAGGAAGGAGGAGCAGGAGGAGGAGGAGGAGGAGGAGGGCAAACAAAAGGGCCAGAGGTCTCTTGGATGCCTCTCGGAGCCTCTTGGGGTATCTCTTGTGGCGCTTCTTGGTGGCCTCTTGGGACGTCTTGGGGATCTCTTCGCGGTTCGGGGGGGCCTCTTGGGGCCGCTTGGGGTCCTCTTGGAGGCCTCCTGGGGGCCTCCTAGGGGCCTCTTGGGGCCTCTTGGGGCCATCTTGGGGCCTCTCAGGGCCTCTTGGGGCCTCATGGGCGCTTCTTGGGGCCATCTTGGAGGACATCGACCAAAAAAGAGGGGAGCTCCAATTAGCGTCCGCCCCCCCAAGAGGCCCAAATGGGGCCAATGCCCTAGTAAAACTAATGAGTTTGGCTTCTCGCCGAGGCTGTTTTGGACGTTCTGACAGCTCGCGACCGGCCCCTTCCAGGTCCAGGGGAGGGTATATGGGGGGAGGGGTAAATCCTTCTCCGAAGGGGAAGAAGGGGGGTGGCGACTGGCCAGGAACGTTCTCTGGAGGACCTTGGAGCGTCTCGGATGTTTTACCTGCCGTTGAGTAGTCTTGGGCCCGTTGGTGTTTCGCTTTCTTCGGCCAGGAGTTAAAGCGCAGTTGAGTTTCATACATGTTTTTTTTTAACTGGGCCAGAGAGCTCAGCTCGGCATGTGATGCACGAGACGCCACGAGACGCACCAGCCGCCGACACTCGGGGACAGGCCCGAGCCTCAGTGTGGCGCCGTGGGGACGGGGAGAGGTTGGGTAAGGGGGGGCGCTGACTGCTAAACTCAGTAGACTTGGTATCGCTCGGACGTGTGCACTTTTTCTCGGCGGGGATTATCAAGGAGCATCCTGGATCATCCTGTGGAAAAACCACGCACCTTACCGAAAAAAACACAGGGAATGGACGTCCGAGCGACGGCAAGTAGACGGTCTCGCAACAACGAACGAGATGTGTGACCGTTGACCGTTTTTCCGAGAAGGAGGTGACGGGCCACAGTGGCATAAGTTGCCTCCGTTCCATCTAATTTCTGTTTGCGTTCCATGGGGCTCGGCGCCGAGCTGTCGCGTTCCCAGAGGGGCTCGAAAAAGCGCGGGACCCGTAGGCTGACCCATGCAGTGCCGATAATGCCGCCAGCAGCCACCGAGTTCGCAATACACGCGAGACGAATTCCTTCTCAAGCACAGAGGATTCACCAGTTGCCAAGGCTTCCGACTCCGTTTGTTCTGACACCGCTTTGATGCCATAATTGTGTGTATGTTTGGTTTTCCCAGAATGTGTCCTGGCTCATTTTCCCCCACTCGCTCTCCATCTTGCCGCGAGGGCCCCCCTAGGAGACCCAAAAAAGAGTTGAAAATACCTACGCGCCTCAACTCCCACCCTCCTCGTTCTCTTCGTCTTCTCGGTGTCGCCATCCTCCTCCTCCTCCTCCTCCTCCTCCTCCTCCTCCTCCTCCGCCTCCTCCTCCTCTTCCTCCCCCTCCTCCTCCTCCTCCTCCTCCTCCTTCTCCTCCTCTTCCTCCCCGTCCTCCTCCTCCTTCTCTTCCTCATCCTCCTCCTACTCCTCCTCCTCCTCCTGCTGCTCCTCCTCCTCCTCCTGCTCCTCCTCCTCCTCCTCCATCTCTTCATCCTCATCTTCACCCGTATCCTCATCCCCTCATCCTTCTCATCCCCTGCTTCATCCGTTCTCCCCCCGAGGACGCCATGGAGGAGCGGCGCCTGAAGGTGTCGCAGTCCCTCGAGACGTGGCGCAGCGGGTGCGACAGGGCGGAGCAGCTGAAACGCCTGCAGGAGATTCCTCTCGGCGCAGAAGGGGGAAGTCGAAGAAAGAACAAATATATGCATAAACGTTCGGAGGTCCGTGCGGAATTCATGGATCGGCGCTGGGCCCCGCTGGCGGTGTCTCCAGCGCCGCCCCCAGCGCGCTCCCCGCGCCAGGGGCGAGGGTGGGGTCCAGCGCAGATCAAAGAAATCCTCGCCCAGCTCCAGAGCGTGCGCTTTTGAAACAGCTTCTGTTAAGAAAGATTCTGCTCTGGGAAGAGGAGGAGGAGCAGGGAGGGAGAAGCCCGTGCTTCAGGACAGGACCGCGGAACGTCAAAAAGGAGGGAACAGGTCCGTGCAACGTCAAATTGGAGGGAGGGGGGCATCATAGCCTCACCACCCCGAACACTCGCGCCCATACTCCCCAACGCCACGGGGGGCACCCCGGTGCGGCAGAGCTCGTGCGGGGGCGGAGGGGGGCGGACCAGGAGAGCAAGTGCTCGGGGGAGAGCGGAGGGGATATCGTCACCGGGCCGGGGTTGCGGGTCGGAGTTCACAAGGATGTTTCTTCGGGTCTCTTCGGGGCACTCTCGGGGGCCTCGTGGGCGCAGTGCTGGGGCCTGTCGGGGGCGTCCTGGGGGCCTCTCGGGAGCCTCCTGGGGCCTATTGGGAGCCTCTGGGGGGCCTCTTGGGGGCCTCCTGGGCCCTCGGGACCGAGGGCTCGAAATGTCCGTTCAGGCTCCCAGTCTGGGCCCCCTCTTAGGCCCGTCTTTGAGCCCTCTTGGGCCGTCCTGGGCGCCTCTCGGCCCGTCTTGGGGCCCTCTTGGGCCGTTTTGGGGCCCTCTTGGGCCTCTGGGGCCGTCTTGGGGCCAACTTGGGGACCTCGTGGACTCTTGGGCCATGTTGAGGCCATCTTGGGCGTACTGGGGCACTCCTGGGCCTTCTCAGAGGCATCTTCGGCCTCTTGGGCGCTTTCTGGGCTCATGTGATGGTCGTCGGCGCTACTGGAGGACGCGCGCGACACTCCTTGAGAATCCCCGGAAATCGCCGGCTTTTGAATTTTTATGCTTCAAAAGCCTACAAAGCTGAACATCTCAGAGCTGCAGGAACCTTGGGACTCTCCACTACGTGCTGCAGGCACAGCAGATTCGTCCTCCTCTCCCTCTCTCTCTCTCTCGTCTTTCTCTCTCTCTCTCTCTATTTCTCTCCTCCCTCTCTCTCTCTCTCTTTCTCTGTATCTCTCTGTTTCTCTCTCTCTCTCTCTCTCTTTATACATATATATATGTATATATATATATATATATATAGATGTTTCTCTCTCTCTCTCTCTCTCTCTATATATATATATCCCCCCTCTCTCTATGTCTCTCCCGATCTCTCTCCTTGTCTCCTCCCTCTCTCTCTCTCTTTCTCTCGTTATTGTTTTGCCATCTCTTTCTGGATGCATATCTATACACACATCACTATCTCTATGTATCTAGTCTTTTCTTTCCCGCCCTCTCTCTCTCGTGTCCTCATTATCTCGCTTTCTCTCTCTCTCTCTCTGTCTCTGTCTCTCTCTCTCTATTTCTTTCTACTATTGTTTCGGTTTCATCAGAATGCCTCAGGTATGACGCCGCACGGATTTATCCATGTTGTGAATTGTCTTTACAAAAAAGGCTTGCCTGCTCCTGGGAGGCCTGCTGATAGAAGTGGCCAGTTTGACCACGGAGAATGTATGCACAAGGCCAGTGGCCCTTCCCCCCTTGCTTCTTCTCCTCGTCCAGCCCTCGGCCTTGCTCTTCTCCCTCCGTCTGCAGCTCTCCAGCGTCAGATGGCTCTAGGACGCGACCTTCATGTGGATGTATGTCGTTTCTGCCCACGAAGTGTATGCGCCGAGCGGGTCGTTGCGCTACAAAAGAAATAATGGCGACCACGTTGGGTTCAGCAGGGGCTGTACTGTTTGGGCCGCTTCCTAGATCTTTGTCAGGGAACCTATTCGTGGTCGAGGCTCGCCGTGGCCAGAAACAAGATGTCTTTCCTTAATTATTCAGTGTACCTAGCATGATGACTTCACTTCTTGACGCATCGCATGTCCCCACCAGCCCATCCAGCAACGATCCCCAGGCGAGTTGCATTGATCAGGGAAGTATGGGGAGCACGCAGTGGAACACAGAAGGATCAGGATCAGCCTGAGCATGCCCAGGTGTCAAACATAAATGCCTTCGCGGATCTTTCGGCATCGGAGCTTGTTGCCAGCTCACTTGGGCAAGATTGGGGCAATGTTGGAAGCATGTTGGACCCTCTTAGGACCCTATCAGGGCCATGTTGGAGACCTTTGGGGCCCTCCTGCGGCCGTCTTGCAGACTAACGAGCAATAAGGGGGGCTGACTGATTACCGCCCCCCGTCGGAGGCCGAAAAGTCGTTCCTTGGGGGAGCTCGTGGACGCTCCAGGGGCCGTCTTGGAGCTTTCCTGGGCCTCTCTTTGGGCTCGCTTGGACGATCTGGGATCCATTTGGAGGCCCCGGAAGCCGAGCGAAAGCGAACAGGCGAGAAAGCATACTTGCATGTGTTCTTAGGTTTTTGAAGGACGTGAGCCTCTCGGGGGAGTCCGTGGGAGGCTCCGTGGCCACTTGCTTGGAACCGTTGTGGATCTCTTGGGGCCTGTCCGAGGCATGCTGGAAGCTATCTTGAACCATCTTGGAGGCCATCCTGGGCTGTCCGGAGCCATCTGGGAGGCTCCAACGCTTCGCGAGCAGGCCCATACAGACCTAATTATGGAGAGGGCGTGCCTACACGCCCAGAGGCCCGGTGCGATCGTCGAGGCAGGGGGGGGGGGCGGCCAGGCCCGCGTGGGCCCCCGGGCCCGTGACTGGTCTTGGCCTGCAGCAGGCGGTCCGCCCCACGCCGCTCGCCGCCCCTTTCTGGAGCTCCCGCGGCCCCCCCGAGGACGAGCAGAAGCTGGAGGCCCACAAGCTGACGGCGAAGAGCTACTCGCTGAAGCTCCAGCGCGTGGGCGACACCCACCGCAGCCTCGCCGACACCCAGCCGCAGAAGAACAGCCGCCTCAAGGCCCCTGGGGCAGCGCCCGCACGGGGAGAGGACGACGGCGACGGGTCGCAGGCGGTGGGGCGGTGGCCCCCGCGGGGGGTCTCCCCGGACCCCCCTCGCGTGGTGAAGGAAAGCACGACGGGCGGTTTTTGGGATGTCGGGCCCCCGGGACCGTCAACAGAAGGACTCGGGACGAAGAGCTGGTCACGGGGAGACGGCCGAGACCTCCGAGGGCCCGCGCCATGACGAAGGCACGACTCCAGGGGTCGGGGCCCGCCGCGCGTGCGAGCCCGTTTGTGGCAGCGGGGCGAGCTGCAGGGCCACGCGCACCGGAGGGGGGGAGAGAAGGGAGGGAGGAGCCCCCTGCCGCGCTCCCTCCATCCCTCCCTGCCTCCCTGCCCACGTGGCGCAGGCCAGACCCCCGGGCCGCGACTCCGCAGATGCGGGGCGCTTCTCTTCCGGATGCCCCGCGCGAAACGTTCCCGTGCGACCGCGGGATCGCGCCCCGGGAATCCAGACCGCGAGGGCGCGAGTGCGGATACGTTCGCCGCTCGTGATGCCCTTCCCCCCCACAGACGAGCATCCAGTCGTCCCTGAAGGTCCAGCTGGAGGACCGCCGCCGCCGCGAGGCGGGCGAGATGGACGAGGCCCGCGGCCAACGCCGCCAGACCGACGCAGCCCCGCCTGCGTCGTCGTCGCCGCGGTCGTCGTCGCAGGGTGTATTTTGATCCGATCGATCCAGTTCGATATCGATTCCGACCGGCACGATCCGATACGATTCCGGCATTCCGGTATTCTGACAACCCGATGCGGCCCCATGCTCGCATGGCGCTGTTGTGGCGCGGCCGATCTGGTTCGATGTAATCTCCGGATCGTTTGTTGACGGACCTGGGGCTCGACGAGGGCATCAAATTTCCCGTCGCGATTTTTTTCCACGACGCCAGGGCGTTTGGGCCCCCGGCCCTTCCCTCCCCTCCCCTCCCCTCCACAATCAGTTCAACAATATGAATGCCACTCTCCTCGCCCCTGGTGGCGTCCAGGAAATGGCCAGCCCCCCTCCGCGCACCGCTTTTTGACACAGGAATTCTGGGAGTTGGGTTTTCGCGTGGGTTTTTTTCGAAATGCTGCTCTCGCTGAAGCGCTGGCCTCATTTTCGGGCTACCGCTCGTTCCGAATCGTGCTCCCGCTGCAGCGCTGGCCTCATTGCCGCGCTTCCGCTCGTTCCGAATCGTGCTCCCGCTGCAGCGCTGGCGTCATTATTTCCAGCGCCATGCCACGGCATGGTTTTCGGTCATTCCAAGTAGGTCGCAAAATCTAGAACATGTTCCCCGAAGAAACCATCGGAAGTCATTACACATTCGGTGCCGATTCGTTGATTTTTTTTGTGCCGCAGAAGCCCTCCCCCCCCATTTTGGGGCGTCGCCACTCCATGCTATGTCAGGCTACATGTTTTCATATCCGCGCTTCCGCGCTTGGATTTTTTGTTAAAAATGCTGCTCTCGCTGAAGCGCTGGCCTCAGTTTCGGGCTACCGCTCGTTCCGAATCGTACTCCCGCTGCAGCGCTGGCCTCATTGCCGCGCTTCCGCTTGTTCCGAATCGTGCTCCCGCTGCAGCGCTGGCGTCATTATTTCCAGCGCCATGCCACGGCATGGTTTTCGGTCATTCCAAGTAGGTCGCAAAATCTAGAACATGTTCCCCGAAGAAACCATCGGAAGTCATTAAACATTCGGTGCCGATTCGTTGATTTTCTGGGTGGCAGAATCCCCCCCTTTCTCAAAATGCTGCTTTCGCTGAAGCGCTGGCCTTATTTTCGGGCTACCGCTCGTTCCGAATCGTGCTCCCCCTGCAGCGCTGGCCTCATTGCCGCGCTTCTGCTCGTTCCGAATCGTGCTCCCGCTGCAGCGCTGGCGTCATTATTTCCAGCGCCATGCCACGGCATGGTTTTCGATCCTTCCAGATAATTCCGCCCCAAAATCTAAAAGATGGCCTCCCGAAGAAACCATCGGAAGCAATTACACATTCGGTGTCGATCCTTCGTTTTGTTGGGCAGCAGAAGCCCGCTCCCATGTTGGGGCGTCGCCACGCCATGCCATGTCATGCTGCGCGTTAATCTTCAACACCGTACTATGCCATGTAATGCTATGCCATGCTACGACATCCGATTGCGCGAATAGCGAGGAGATCTGCGCCATGGTAATGGATTGGAGGGAGGGGTAGGACGTCAGAGATGACGCGAGCGCACCTAGGTTGCCTCCTCCCCCCCGCCCTCCCTCCCCCCTTGGACCTCGGGGGCCGATGGGCAGGCGCAAGCGGCGACCCCAGAGGTCTGGACCCCCTCCCCGGGACCAGCTCCCCATCCTGACGTGCTTGGACGGTCCCGGGGCCCGGCGAGGGCCCCCCAGAGGTCGAAAGTGGACGAGAACCCCGCGCCGCGATTCTCTTCACAGCGAGAGGCTTCAGGTAGCAGAATTGATTTACACCAGAAATGCTTCTTCCGCCGAATCAACCCAAAATACATCGAATGCCCCGTAGATCGACAGAACATCCTACGTATTTGCGTAGATTCGACGGGACATGAATTTTGGGGTACATCAATTCTGCAGTCGATCCCCCCCCCCTCCCCCCCTCCTCCCTCCTCCTCCTCCTCCCTCCGCTCCCTCCCTCCTGCCTCCTCCCCCCTCTCCTTCCCCTCCCCCCCGGTGTCTCGGGGGCAGATGGGCGGGGGCAGCGCCCCTTCCGAGGAGGGGAGAGGAGGAGGAGGAGGAGGAGGAGGAGGAGGAGGAGGAGGAGGAAAAGGAGGAGGAGGAGGAGGAAAAGGAGGAGGAGGGGGAGGGGGAGGGGGTGAGGGGGAGGAGGGGAGGAGGAGGAGGAGGAGTGAGGAGGGAGGAGGGAGGAGGAGGAGGAGGAGACGAGGACGAGGACGAGAGACGAGACGAGACGAGGACTGAGGACGAGGGACGAGGACGAGGAGGACGAGGAGGACGAGGAGGACGAGGGAGGACGAGGGGACGAGGGAGGAGAGGAGGCGAGGAGGACGAGGAGGAGGAGGACGAGAGGACGAGGGAGGACGAGGGAGGACGAGGAGGAGGAGGAGGAGGAGGCGGAGGAGGAAGGAGGAAGAAGTAAGGAGAAGGAAAAAGAGGAGGAGGGGGAGGAGGAGGAGGGGAGGAACGAACGGAGAGGAGGGGGACGGTAGGATGAGGAGGAGGAGGAGGAGGAGGAGGAGACGGGGGATGAGGATGAGGAGGAGGAAGAGGAGGAGGAAGAGGAGGAGGAGGAGCAGGAGGACGTAGGAGGAGGGGGGAGGAGGAGGAGGAGGAGGAGGAAACCATACGGCCGAGGAGGGGTGGGACCGTTGCCGCTTCGTCGGTCGCCCCGTCGATCGTGGCTCGCGCGCGGGCCATCAAAGAAGAAACAAGAAGGCCGCCGCGACAGCGGCCAGGACTCTAAAGACGCCCAGGGGGCGGGAGGAGCCTTGGCACCGACGGCTACGAGCCCTTCGTGGACAAGACCGTCTGCTGCCACGTGTCGCTGCAGCTGCAAGCCGTCTCAACAGCCACCACAGCGCCCAGCAGCAGCAGCGCCAGCAGAAGCAGCAGCCCCTGAGTACGGACGGCGCATGTCACGTGTTGCGGTCAATGTTGGCCAGAGGAAGAAGTCATCGGGCCCCGCAG